CCGGAGAGAGCGAGAGAGCGAGAGACAGCAGAGGAAGGCGAGGAGCCCAGAGGCCAGGAAACGGGCAGGAAATCAGTGCATCACATGTGCCTCTTTTCCCAGCAGCTGGGCCTCTGCAAGAGACCAAAGCGACACCCAGCTCTTTGCTTGCACACTTGAAACAGGAAGGAAGTGGCAACCTGACGTTCATGAGGACCGGCCTCGCCTGAAGCTACCCAAAAAATAAAAAATAAAGATAGATGACTTTGGGAGGGAGGGAGGGAAGGAAAAGTGTTTTGGGACACCTTTTTCTTTTAAAGACTTGTGGATCTCAACTCCCAGAATGCCTCAGCCAGCACTGACTGGCTGAGGAATTCTGGGAATCAAAACCACAGGCTTTCAATCCAAGAAGCTTCTTCAGCTCTGACTGGATAAGTGGAGAATGGAAGGATTTATACTCCTTGCAGACAGCTGGTCATTTACATCCTTTTTAGAGGGTCGTTGAGGCCACTTGGAGATGTATCTGTGTCCTCAGGGTCACCTGAGTTAGTGCAAATGGTTCCTGTAGTCTGCAATTTTTTCCCCTCCTGAAATCCATTCCTACTCTCACACCATTCCAAGGGTGTTCATCCCAAATTGTATAGCTAAAAGTCTGGTGTCTGCAAGGAATACACACCCTCCCATTCCCCACCATCCTGTCAGAGTTGAAGAAGTTTCTTGGATGAAAGGCAAAACATCTTCAAAAGAAAAAAAAAAGGCTTTTAGCTATACAATTTGGGATGAAGATCCTTGGAATGGTGTGGGAGTAGAAATGGATTTCCAGAGGAAAAAATGGCAGATTTACAGGAACCAGGAGTACCACTCAGCTGAGGGCACAGATAAACAAACCTCCAAGTGCTTCAACAACCCTCTAAAAAGGATGCAAATCACCCGCTGGAATGCAAGGAATATCAATCCTTCCATTCCCCACCATTCTGTCAGCGCTGAAGAAGCTTCTTGGACGAGAACCGAAACTTCTTCAAAAGAAAAGAAAAAACGTCCAATTGCCTCCCGAAAAAGCACCTTTTGGGACATCTATGACCTGAATGGCTGAGAATCTCTACATACTACAGGCTTTAAAGCTATCAAGTTTGGACATCTCTGATGTAGGACAAGGCTGAGCGCTTTGCTTTTACTGAGATTGGCAGAACCATCCGAATGCCTGGACTTCCAACAGAGGGCAGCAGAGAGACAGAAACACGTAACCTTTGCACCCCCTCTTGTGGGCATCTGGATCTTTGCAGCTCAGATCTGATTTTATTTGTTTGTTTGTTTGTTTATTTAGTCAAGCGATTATAAGATAACAGGTATAAGTATAAACATAGCTAGGAATCCATGAAATGGATACATACAAGAAAAATAAAAAGAAACAATAGGACAGGGATTTATAGTGATGGATAGACCAGTCAGAGCAGAAAATTGGGGCATCTAAAAACATTTCCTTAGTTTTTAATCAGCTTGTCATGTTCTGTGCAGGGAAGTGATCCCTTCTGCCCTTAACTTTTACCTTTATGTTTATACTACATACTCCCTAGGTGCTCCAGCCCAGCCCACCTCTCAACAGAACTACGGGCTTGTTGCTTTGAAGATTCTTCAACATTTTTTTTTGCAAATGAGACCAGGGAGTGCATCTATTTTGGTTCTGAGTGGAGGGGAAGGGGCAGGGGAGGGAAGGATCAGCCAAGGGTCGACTGAATTTATTTCAGTCATAACCTCTAGCAAAATTTTGAATTTGAATTAAAAATGGTAAGAACTAAGATCTTCCTGCTAGTATTTTAAAAGTTACAAATCAGGTTTTGTTCCACTTGAATGCAAGGAAGTTACAGTATGTTATATGTCAGATCCCCACCCCCGCCCCTGCATACACGCTGTGTATAGACAGACAGACAGACACACACATAGAGGGCGAAAGGGATAAAGGGGGAAGAAGGGAGAGAGATAGAGATAGAGAGGGAGAGAGAGAATGAATTTTATTGTGTTATTGTTGTTTAAAGTTCCGCAGATTTTAATCTTTTCATACCCCAAACTGTCTAAAAAAAACCCCAAACGTCGTAGAACTTCCTTTCTGTTCAGACGGCTACACAGAGATAACCCCAAAATCACCAGGAGCCAAGCTTGATTGGAAACCATCTTTAATCTTTTCGATCCAGATAATGAGGGCAGGATTACATTCCCAGTTTGTGGCCATCCCTTCCACCCTAAATATCAAAGTGGAATAACATCCATAATGAATGAAGTTATAATGAGGTTCTTCCTTTTCTTTTCTTTATGCAGAATAATAATTTGGGCAGAAAGGTCACAAACCATGTCGTTTCCTGGCGGAACGTAGAAGCTGATTTCAGTAAGTTTGTGAGCGATTCTCCGCGTGTGAGGCTGGTTGCTCTGATGAAATCTGTGTGCGTTTGTGTCCCCTGGCTTTGGTGGGTAACCAACTCGCACCACCTTGGTTTCGTGCAGCAAGTTTTTGGACCAATTATTTAGGTTGTGGGGGGGGAGGCTCTGCCTTGTCTCAGCTACTTTGAAGATGTCTTCTTTCTGTCGCTCCTATGATGTTTGAGGTCGGAAGCACCCGAGTGAGAAAGAATCAAAACGAAACCTGGGTCAGAGCAGGTAGAAAAACACTGCTGAGTGGGAAGCACAGCAGAGGAAAAGTCTAGGTATGAATAAAATGCAGGGAGACTCGGTCTGTGAGGGGAAAGAGCTTCAGGCCATCTGTGGATCTTCCTCCCCTGGAGAACGTTTTGATAAATTGGGGTCTGAAGGCAAACGAGAGGCCAGTGACTAGAGGTGATTCACCAGCGCCTGGGTGACAACCCGTGGAGCCTTCCTGAATTTTAGAGATTTCTGCTCTAAGGGGGGAATTTCCCCCCCTTACAATTCTCCTTTTCCTTCTCCTTCTCTTTCTCCCCCTTCCCTTTCCCTTTCCCCTTCTCCTCTTCCCCCTCTCTTCCTCCTCCCTTTCCTCTTCCCTTTCTCCTCTTTCTCCCTCCCCTCCTCCCCCTTCTTCCCCCTCCTCTTCCCCCTCCTCCTCCTCTTCCTCCCTCTCCTCCTCCTCCCTTTCCTCCCCACTTTCTCCTCTTTCCTCCCCTCTTCCTCCTCCTCTCCCTTCCTCTTACCCCTCTCCTCCTCCTCCTCCTCTCTCCTCCTCCTCCGCCCCTTCTTCCCTCTCCTCTTCCCCTCCCCTTCTCTCCTCCCCCCCTCCTCCCTTCCCCCTCCTCCTCTCCCTTCCTCTTCCCCCTCTCCTCCTCCTCCACCCCTTCTTCTTCCCTCTCCTCTTCCCCTTTTCCTCCTCCTCCTCCTCTTTCCTCCTCTCCTCCTCCCCTTCCTCTTCCCCTCCTCTTCTCCCCCGCCCCACTCCTGTTCTCTAATCTCTCTGGGTAGAGGACAACTTCTGTTCTCTTCCTCTCTGGAAGACCACGCAAGTGGCAAAGGTGGAAGAACTGCAGACTTTCTGCGTGCTAAGCTCCAAGCTACCCACCACTAAGCCACAAATTGGGGGCAGGTCCTCTTTTGAGCTGGTAATTGCTAGGGGCTTCCCTTTGAGCTGCAAACTCAGCGGGTGGCAAGTTTTAGATTTCCGAACGGTGGGACCCTTCTTTCTACTGGAAATGACTCCAAGAGTCACGGAGGTAGGTCATTCATTGTAGTCAGTCTCTTAAAGCAATTGTCCATTGGTTTCCATCTCGGGCTCCTACTTTTCTTCATCTTCAGCCTGCAGATGGAATCAACCATTCAGCCACCACCAGTGAGCTGCTCTTCGTGTCAACAGCGGCCCCTCTGCGCTCACCTCCCTCCCCAAGTCTAATTTTTGTTATACAACGTTTTTAATGAGGGGATGAGGAGGGACCCGAGCACAGATGGTGCGCAGAGTGCGGCAAGCCCCCCCCTTTTTTTGGTCTCCATTTCAATCTTCAAGTCATAAAACGATAACACGCGATGAAATTCTTTAGATGTCGTTTTATTAGCAGCCCCCGATCTGGCTGGTGTTGCAAGAATTGCACGAAAGGACGGTCGATCCGTGGGAAGGACGAACCTCCTGAAGGACAGCTGGCCTCCTGTCAATAGGACTGAGACAGTGGCCGGGGGTTCGGAGGGGGTTCGAGAGAGCCCCTAGCTAAGATTCTGTGCGGTTTGGAGAACTGGCCCGCCCCTCCCCGCCCCTCCCCGGAGTCCATATACAGCCCGTTTTGGATGCAGGTAAGTGTAGGGTGCTCGTGGAAGCTTGGGGGATGGTGAAAAATGGGCCTCCCGGAAGTTCGAGAAGGCCAGAAATGGGCCTGTTTCCGACTTCCAGAGAGCCTCGGGTGTCCGGGAAAGCCATTTTTGCCCTCCTGGAAGCTCAAGGAAAGCCTCCGGAGTCCGGGGAGGGCGAAAACGCCCCCCCCCGGCTGTGGTGCAGGAGGCCGGCTAGGCTATGCCTACCATGGCCACGCCCACCCAAAAACCAGGCAAAGAACCCTTTGCTAAAATTTTTGAAGCCCACCTCTGGACTTAGATGAACCAGTGCTGATGCTTGTGAATGCAGGAAGCCCATCTTGTGAGGGAAATGGCACAGGTGTGCAATTCTCTCTTCCTATCATCTTAGCCATGCATACTGAATCATGATTAATCACCTGAGTCAGCCTCCTCCAACCTTACAGCCCTCCAGGTGCACAGGTAGCCCTCGACTTACAACCACAACTGAGCCCAGCATTTCTGTTGTTCATTGGGACATTTGTTAAGTGAGCTTTGCCTCGTTTTACTTGCCGCCTTGGTTAAGTGAATCACTGCATTTAATAAGTTAGTAGCTCAGTTGTTAAGTGAATCCGGCTTCCCCATGGACGTTGTTGGACAAAAGGTCGCAAAAGAGGACCACCTGACCCCAGGACACCGTAACAGTCATAAATATGAACCTGTTGCAAAACGCCTGATCCTGGGGATGTTGCAAAGGTCGTAAGGGTGAAAAACGATTGTAAGTCACTTTTTTTCTGTGCCATTGTAATTTGAACGGTCACTAAATGAATGGTTGTAAGTCAAGAACTACCTGTATTACAGCGTGAAGCTTAACATTATAATCTCCCCTTCTTTCTTTCAGCATCTGCTCCGCTTTGGGTCCCAAGGGTTGGTCGGTTCAGGAGAGAAACAGAGAATGGATTTATACAGTTCCTGGATAGGATCAGACGCAGGAGACGCTGGTTCTGCTAATGGAGATGGGAAGAAGGATGTTTAGGCCTAAAATGGAGATCTGTGAGATACGCGTTGAGGTGGACCACGCAATGAGAGTAGGACGACAGGACGAAGGGGAGCAAGGATGTTGTGGGGTGCTCCCGGATCAGACTTCCGGAAGAAGGGTAGAAGACAGTGCGGTCACTGCCACAGTGCCCAGAGAAGCTGCCAGCAAGGAGGCGTGAGACAAAGACTCTGTGTTCTTCTCCAGCCATCGGTATTCCTCTTCCAGCTGGCGTCTCTGCAGCTCAGGCCCAATGACCTGGCGGATGGTCTCGTAGTACTTGTTGATGTACTGGATCTGCAGACAGACAGGACTGAATTTCAAGGGGGTGTTTCTTGGCTTGGTCCTCTTACCTGTTCTGAATTAGGCTTCCCCAACAGCACGAAACCGACTCCTAGTCCCGATAAACCCCCTTTGATTTAGTTTATAGTGAATTCCTCTCCAGCAAAGTCTCGGCCAAACAGTATTTCAAGATATTTCCCAATTACAGACCTTTATCAGGCTTGGAGAGTTGCCAGGCCAATATCTTTCAGACGCCACACTCTAGCAGACAGTACTAGGCAAGCATGAAGGAACAGATCTTCACCCAAATGAACTGTCTCCTGCAAAACCCCACACCTCTTCTGCTCCTCTTTTATTCCCTATGAGAGGGGCCATTCACCATCCACCCGTGGCTTTACTCCCAAGTCGACCCTTGTTCCTTAGCTGTTCCCTTCTTCTGGAAGCTCTGTGCATGCGCACACTGGGCACAGGCTCCAGCTATTCTTCTGCCCCACTGATCTCCAACTCTGAATACAGCTGATAACTGTCAGACGGCCCTGGCCCCATCTCTGCCTCCGATGCAGAGCACTCATCAGAGCCTTCCCCAGACTCCAGGATTGGCCCATGTTCCTCCCCAACCCCCTCACTGTCCGAATTTGCTGCCAGCTCTGCTGGCTGCTGGCAGACCACAACATTAGCCCTCTCAGGCCTCCTTTACCTGATCCTGGGAGAGAAGACTCTGGTCAATGAGGTTCCGCGCATAAGGCACCAGGGACACCACCTTGAACGTCAGGTAGGGCTCTTCGTGCACTGGATACTGCAATTGATAAAAAGAGGGGAGGCTCAGTTCTTGTAGGACATGCAAGAGCCAGGTTTCCACTTCAGGTGGCAACTGGCATTTCGGAATGAGTGTGCCTACCTAGGCGTCCCCAAAAAGCCCTAAGCAGACTCTTTGTCCCGGCAAAACCCCTTTTATTAAATGAAGGTGAATTTCTTGCATTCATCTTCAGCCAAAGGCCTGGCAAACAGTCTGCCAAGGGTGTAATTCGGAGCACAGACCTTATCTAGCTTGGAGAGCTGCCAAGTAAATGTTTTCAAGCGCAGTGCTGACAAGGAAGGACACAGCACAGAGTCTCTGAGATGCACAGGAAGATCTTCACAATGATGGAATGAACCAAGTATTGTCCTGCAAAAGCCCCGTCCCCTTTTGCTCCTCTTTTAATCCCTATGGGAGGGGCCATTCACCCTTCACCTGTGGCCTTACTCCCACGTTGACCCTTAGTTCGTAATTGTTCTTTCCTTCTGGCAGCTCTGTGCATGCACAGGCTGGGAACCGGCTCCAGCTACTCCCCCGCCTCACTGCTGTCCGAGCCCAAAGGCAGCTGATGACTGCCAACCTGTCCTGGCCCCACCTCTGCCTCTGATGCAGAGCCCTCATCCGAGCCTTCCTCAGCCTCCAGGACTGGCCCAGGTTCCTCCCCAAACTCCTCACTGTCCGACTCTGCTGCCAGTTCCGCTAGCCATTGGCTGCCACAACAGCCAACGCAGGGGACTGTGCATATCATTAGAATGTATGTGTTGCTTCTTCAAGAAATAATAAAAAAGGTGTTTCCATTTAAATTCTGTGCATGGGGATGAATTATCCCCTGCTTGTTTGCTAGCTAGAGTTCTAGACACTGCACACATCTGTTATTACAAGTATGTATTATATGACTTCTAATTGGCTCAGTAACCAAAGATCTTTATTACCTGCCATGACACATTTTATTTTCCCCTTGGGGAGTCAGTCCCCCAAACCCCATTAATGTCAAACCTATGTGGAGAAAAGTAAGGCGGTCCAGGTAGATTGACCTGCTGCAGTTCTCATGGCCTGTTTTTGTTGGCTGCGAAGAATTGGAACCACACCTTAAATTCCAGTTAAGGTTATTTATTGCTCACGTCTATACACAAGAATCTCATCAAGGAACAGCCAGTATTAAGTTGGCACTAAATAAGAATCAGTAGAATTCAAGAGGGTTGAACTTAGATTGTGGGAATGGGATGATTCTAGGCTGATTACTTGCTTGACTCCACCCCCAGGGTCTGCCTGTCCATTCTATACTTTCTCAATCAAAGATTATCTGGAAATCAGTAAGCTGAGGAAGGCTGATAAAAATCCCTCTTTCTTTCAACATAATAATTGTTGGGATTATCCCAGGTTCCTCTTTCCCAGGGACTTCCAACATACCATGGAAGAATCTGCAGGTGATCCTCCAAGTCTTATTCTCTGCATTGCAACATATCTACCTGCTAGGATTGCCTTTCCTATAACCAACCGCCTGCCCAGAGGCGATCCTTTGATGGATGGTGTGTTGTGAGTGGGCTGATCAAAGGCAAGGAAAAGGACCTCACCTTGGTCTGAGCTTGTACCACAAATGCAACATCTTCGATACGGATTCCAAATTCCCCATCATGATAATAACCAGGCTCTGGAGACAAAGAAAGGAAGGAAAGAAGCAGGGAACAAAATCTGAGATATTTCCAGGGGTGGGATTCTACCAGTTTGCACCTATTCGCTAGAACATTAGCATTCTAAGCAGTTCGGAGAACCGGTTCTTAGAAGAAATTACTGGCCTAGTCCTGTAAGGAAGGCAGGAAGGAGACATTTTTTCTCTGGCATCCATAACTAGCTCATCCACAATCCACTTCCGATGGATACACATCCGTATTCCAAACCTGGATTTGTATGACAGTAAAGTTAAGGTAGTGACATATTTTATCTTCCTGGGCTCCAAGATCACTGCAGAAGGGGACTGCAGCCAAGAAATTAAAAGATGCTGGCTCCTGGGGAGGAAAGCTATGGCAAATCTAGACAGCCTACTAAAAAGCAGAGACATTACTCTGCCAACAAAAGGGCATAGAGTCAAGCCCAGGAGTGGGATTCTACCAGTTTGCACCTATTCTCTAGAACCGGTTTTTAACATTCTAAGCAGTTCAGAGAACCGGTTGTTAGAAGAAATTACTGGACTAATCCTGTAAGGAAGGCAGGAAGGAAACATTCTGGTGTTGCTTACAGAAACTGCCTCTCTGTTAACCCTTGTTACATTCTTGGCAGGACTAGACTTCCTGTCTCAGGAACGTCTCTGGAGGTTTTTTTTTTTTGGAGTTTGTGGGTTTTATCTTGTAAGTCACTCTGTCAACTAAAAAATATTTCTTTGGTCTTTTTAGTTGCCAGCAGAAAGGGAGTGGGGAAAGTAGGGCATTCCTTAAATGCTTCAAATACTTGCTAGGCAGCCGAAGCTGTTGACGCACAAGATTATTACTGGAGAGCATGAGTGATGACCCTTGGCTATGGATGTGTCCCATTGGAGAATATACACCCAGGGGGTGGTGGGAAGACCAGGTCAAGGGTGAAATGAATGATGTGTCTTAGAGTCGGCTGCACCCAGGAAACGCCGACATGGTCACTCCTAATAAATCATTTTTTTAAACTCTGAGAGATGCGGCTAGAGACTTATGCTTGGAATGGGTGTGTATTGTCGGAGCCTTGACACACTCAGAGTTACCTTGAACCACAGATGCGGGGCAAATAAATTTGATAAATGAATAAAATAAATAAAACCAGGTTGATGTTACCTATGGAAGTGAACATCCCCTTGTCCAAAGGAACATTGTTGGACTGGAACCCCACAGGCCCTGACGGAGGAAGAAAAGTGTTATTTATGAAAATCAAAATAGCTGCCAACCTCAAGCAATTATACAGTAAGATGTGCTGCTTTTTTTCTTGTGGCTTTCCATGACAATTACAAGGTATCTCATCATGCATTGTGCAGTGTGTTTCACAGCCATGCCTGACGCACATTCACAAAACATTAGGGAATGTGGCTCTGCAAATTATTTCAGCAATTGGGTGATCAAATCAATTTGCTAATTTGGATAAAGCAAGCTGGTTCGATTGATCAAAGGTTTTTTTTGCAACCCCAGAAGAATCATCCAGATCGAGGCGGTCTTTT